GCAGGAAGAAGAGAAAGTCTTAGGGAGGGGAAGTGGAAGACAAGACAGACAAAAAGTGGGTGAGATGCAAGGGAAAAGTTAAAATGGGAAGGGGCAGTGTAGATGTGAGGGAAGAAAAACATGGAACGTGAGCAGGGGCATGCGGAGAATAGAAAGGAAGGAGGAAAAAGAGACAACATCTAATGTCTTCATAAATCAGATTAATCCAATCTGCAACTATATATACTTTAATCATATAATGGCATCACTATAGGGAAGAGTTAAAGTTATTTGAGTCCTTAATTGTGTATTTTTATGTTTTAATAATGGTGGGCTTTTTAATTTTAACTTTACATTTCATAGCCTTATAAAACCTTTTGTAAAAAATTCCCATTGTTTTTTGGGAATATATACACAACATAGTATGCTGAAATCACTAGACGATCATCACTAGCGTTTTTTTAATTACTTTAGAAGGTACTTAGGAAATAAAAATGTTAAGGGAGCTTATTTACATAGCGAGTGCCAATACCACACACACATTTGTATAATATATAAGATGTGTGATATAGTAATCACTATAAACTTAACTGCTAGTCGTTTATAGTTTCTAATGTTAGGGGACATATGCTTGGAATGCCTGCAAGAGCCTGCGCAATGTGTTATCTAGAGGTTCCACAGACACGTTTCTGTTGTTTAACTTAGAATAGAAATGGGCCTGAATTACTATTTTAAATATTAGTGAGTGGAAAACACAATAGACAGACACAATAGACTACATTAAAAATGCTAAGGAGAAAGAGTTTTCTATGGAGCTTTTAAACATCGATGAAACAAGGGTCCCAAACATTTAGGAAAAATCCATAAATGACTATTACAGGTTGCACCTCTAATCTGGGAATCTCTGGTCTGGCAACATCCATGGTCCAGCATAACCGCAGATGTCCCAGGATCAGAGAGTCCTGGTGTGCTGCAGGAGGGTGAGGGTCCAGGAGCTAATGTGTGGCTCATCTGGGCTGCAGGGTGGTAGGGTTCCAGGAGCCAGCTCATGGCTCAGCTAGGCTGGGGAGGGGCCAGGAGCTGGTGTGTGGCTCAGCTTTCTGGAGGGTTGGTTGGGAGCCAGGAAGCCCATAGGAGGGGAGTCAGCAGGGGGCCTGAAATGACCTCTTCTGGTCTGGAAAAACCCAGGATCAGTCAGGTCTTGAGGGCGCTTGACCAGGGAGGACCAACCTATACTTAGGATATTCAGGGTTTCAACCCCATGCTCTGGATAGACCTGTATCTCTGACTAATAGAACCTGAGACTGGACGAGAGAACCTAAGATTTTCAAAGTAGCCAGAACGTCTGACTATAAGTATCTAGGACCTGGGTCTGAATCACTCTATAATTGCCATGTTTTTATGCATTCCCTCTGAAGTATGTAGCATCTACTACTCCCAGAGACCAAGATACTGAGCTGTGTTCTCTTTTTTTTTTCTTAATTGTATCCTTTGGTATATATGTTTGTGACTATTTTCTTCCACTACTAGCTGGTCCAGTTTTGACCCGGACCGACCGGTATTTGAGGGTTCTCTCCGGGAAGCAAATTGAGAAAATACCAGATATAGAAAATGTCCAGTATTTTCTAATTAGGTAAGTTTTATTATTATTAGGAGTATCCGTACGTAGTTGCGAACTGCCTGGCTGGTAGATACACTCATGCTGCGTGAGTGTGTCTACCAGCCAGGCAATATGCAACTATGCGAGGGGGGATGGGGACAGGGCGGGATGGAATCCCCAGGGCCGGACTCACTCGTGCTTCGCCGGGACCATGCACGGGACGGGCAGCGCCTCAGGATCTGTGTGCACCTGGGTCAATCCCGCTCTCTGCCGGCCGATTGTTTCCCCCCGCTCTTTCCCCCCAGATATCCCCACTCCCCCTGACCTCCTCCCGGATAGCCCTGCTTCCCAATGGCTGGTTCTCCCCGCCTCCTTCTCTGATCTCCCCCTGGCCAAGCCTGCTCCTCTGGCCCCCTCCAACACCACCAGGTC